GTCTGTACCCCCCTCCCTATAAGTTGTTAGCCGCCCTAAGTCCCCTCAGGGAAAAGGGCGGCCTATAAATAAACCTATTCTATTCTATTCTGAAAAATCATGCAAAGGTTTATTTTCCACTTGGGTCTTATTTTCAGGGAAACGCGGTAACACTGAGCTTTGCTTTGCAATTAGTTGCTCATATTCAATAAAGTAAATTCATTTGAGTATTTGTATTTAAGTTCTGAATTTTCCACCCTATTAGGATGCAAAATATATAGCCAGAGGCTAGAGGCCTGGACACAGTGTAAGACAATCACTGCAAAGTGCTGTGTAAAAAACATTCTACAAAGCATTAATATTTCTAAGATAGGAGAAAACAGGAAGCAACTAACTTTGTAACATCTTTTCTCTACCAGCAAAAGAAAGAGATGCGTAACTGACCTCTAGTGGATATTTTTTTTAAATGAATTTTTATAAGGTTTGCTGGTATGTAACAGGCAAGGAACCCCGTCGTTCTCCAGATGTTGTTGGAATAATCTTCCATCAGATGCAGCCAACATAGTCAATGGTTAGGAATCATGAGGACCGATCCAACACCATCTGGAGAATCATAAGGTCCTAACCATTTTGCTTTAAATGTCTCGGAGGATGAGTTGACCTTGCGAAGTTTGTATTATCCAGAAACTGAGAAATCAACGGGAAATAGGTAGAGACCCAGGTAGTTTTGGACTCACAGCATAATTCAATGCAGCACAGTTCAATGAAAACATTTAAGTACAATTAGAAAAAGGATATTATCAACAAAGATTGCAAAAAAGCTTATGTACAGATCAGGTGTCCTGGATATAAATGCAAAACACAAAGACATATTCTTCTGTTTTCATTTAACTTACTCTTATGTTGGAAATATTTACTAATTAAGGAAAATAGAATAATAGAAATATTACTTTTTGTAAATGTAAATATTTATTCTGTATCCTTTTCTTTTCAGATCAGACAAGTGTCTGAAGCAATGGATCATTTTAACTGATATATATTGTTACCAAATAACACAAAAAATGAAGATTCTTACATACCAGACTTTAAATCCTTGTTACTGAAAACCCAATTGTAGTAAATAGTTAACAAAAAAATTCCATATATATTAACCTAAAACTCATATTTTTCCTAATCTTTAAATACCAGGATGGTTCTTTTAAGCTAAATGAAGTAAACAATTCAGCATAAATGACAGGACTGATTGATGATTGATTTATATTATCCTGTGGTTTCTCTAATAGTTAAAAAAGTTTGGCATTCATAGAGGTCTACTATGTCTCTAAGGAAGTGTAATTTGAGACTGTTTAAAATTCTTACAATATTCGAAGATGAAAAATATTTTCAATTCAGAAGAACATTCAACAAATTTATATAAAATTTTGACAGTGGAAGAGGAAATATTTTTCTAGAAATAAATGCCCAAGAATACTTACTTTTAGTTTCTCAATTTCATCCTTATGTTCCCTTTTTAACTGCAAAATCGCAGCATGGTACTCTATAAAAAGTGAAATAATATGTCAGACCAATGTTACAAAGGTTTTTGAGATGCCAGCACAAATATGAAAGGAACTACCATATCTGATATCATACAGCTTTTCCTGGCTGCAATGCAGTAAATGCTGAAGTGGAAACTGTAAAATACATTGAAACACACCCACTAAAGTTGATTATATTTTGTTAAAATAAATTATTTTGTTTTTCACTTTGTATTAATATTAATACAATTAATATTTTATTTATATCTTATTGCTTTTTAATTAATAACAAAAAACAGCAAAACACAAAAATTATAGTGATGGTGTTACATTCATTTTCAAAAAGAAGAAAAAAATACATAAAAGTGTAAGAAAACAGTGAAAAAATGACAAAAACAGAAAGAAAGAAAAAGAAACATATATGCCATGGCTTCCAGGGTAATATAAGCATTTTTGATAATGTCTAGAAAGTAAGCAAAAATGAATACATGGGTCAGCATGTATTGAATGAGTGAATGAATAGTACTCATTAGTAGAAATTAATGGGTAGCTGAAACACCTATAAAGGTATTCAGAAAAGCTACTTCAAATAGAGTATCTTAAGAAAGCAGACAGGCATTGAATGAGGCCATTGCTGTTCAGACCTCCCATAAAACCGTTAGCCTGGTTTCAGTCAGAACAATGTGTGGATTCTTGTGGATCTGCAGATGAATACTGTGGTTAGTGTGTGGTTGATTCTTTAGTGCTTACCCACTTCCTGAAATGGGAATTTTTAAAAATAATCCAGAAAATGTATTAGAGATGAAAAATAGGAAGAGGGAGACCATATATTTATAATAAACAAAACAAAGGCTTCTAAAACACAAAAAGGCAATATGGAATGGAAAGTGTATTGATATATGTACATATATTCTATAACTCCTAACCTGATGAAAAGAAAAAAAAACTTAAGATGATGAAAGAAATGGGAAAAAAAGAATGGAAGTGACAGTTAATCTATACATACATATCATAATAAAAACATACTTATGAAAATGCACATGGAATTGTCTCTTGTCGACTATCTGAGATATTCTTTCATAACCTAGATAGCTATATATGAAGGTCCCACTTTCTCACTTCAATAACTCACATACATCCTAAAATAGCATTTCCCAAAATATAGCTATTAGCTTTAATAAATTGGTTGCTATTTAATATAAATTCAATATACTTATTCAGTAAATTATATTGGAGTCATAGTGGATAGATTGCTGAAAGACCTAGCAACAATAAATAAAAATTCACAGCAAATTCAATTAAATAAGGTAAAATTGGATACAGCACTAGTATGCCCACATCAAACAAATGATCATAGACAAAATAGAATTATAAAAAATTGCTAGATTTTCTCTAAAGAAAATAAAACTCTGAAGTGTGTGTGTGTGTGTGTGTATGTATGTATGTATATACATATGTGTATGTATGAGAGTTTGTCTGTCTGTCTTTCTTTCTGTGTATGTATGTATGTATCTATCTATCTATCTATCTATCTATCTATCTATCTATCTATCTATCTATCT